ATAGACACTGAGGGAACTCAGCTTATTGTCCTGTCATGTCAGCTTAGCCAGATCACTATCCAGTAGCTTAGAAGTTCTGGACCTGCCCTGGAGTCATGCTGAAGACATTGCCACTGCAAAACAAATTAATGCTAGAGTACAGTTTAGAACAGAGAAGATGTGCTTGCCTCTCTTCCTGATTTTTTATTCTAATAGCATGAAATATTATTGACACTGTTTCTACAATTTTTAGACAATTTCTCCAATTTAGACAATTCTTAAAATTAGCTAGAAAACAGTAAAACTAGAGATAAAGTATCTGCAAAGAAGGTACATTTGGAAGGGTATTTGGAATAGTCAGAAAACTAACTAAAGAGTAAAACTGTTTTTTCTAGAAAGTTATACTCATTCTTTGTAAACTCTGGTTTCATTCATAGTTTTCTACCCACCTGGGTCATGCAAGCACTTCTCAGACCAGGCTAGATTCTGACTCTCCAGCAATCATCACTAGCACAGCTGCAGGATCTGGTGTGACATCAACCCAAAAACTGGTAACATGCTAAAATTCACTTTTTCATTTTTTGAGACATAATTATAACAAATATTACTTTGGGTATTCTTATTTCCACATTTTTCAGAGCAACCCAAGTACGTAGTTGAGGAAACTTCAGTTTACATATCTGTGTGAAGACACTAGCTTGCAAATCCTTATTAGTGTTACAGAAACCCATTTATGTTAGGAGCAATTTTAAATTTCTTTTGGAGGGGGAGTGTGACAAAATGAAGAATAGAAGAGTGCACATGCACTGAAGTGTAGTATAACAGGAACAATTGGTGCTTTGCATTACACCATTTTGTTCTGGAAATAATATGCTTTAGTGTCCTGCTGTTTGAAATGTCTCTTCCATTTCCTCTTCTGTATTTGTTGCTAAACTGTCAGTTTTAACTTTTCTCCACTGTCTTTGGCCTTGCTCTCCATTCTTTTTCCCATCTGATACAGTTTGCTACCAGCAGTCAGAGAAGGATGCAGCATTTTACTGCATGAAAGCTTTTTTACACCTGCTATGTCACTGCTAGAAAGACTTTCCAGGGTGATGGAAGTGCCTGCAGTTGTCACTCAAGTATGCGGCCAGTGAGCTGCTTGATTTTTGTCAACTAAGCCTTTGCCAAACTTCCTTCAGGATAGCAGTCACTTGCTCAAAATGCTTTCTCATATGTAGCGTGGAAAAAGATGGAATAAACCAGGTTGTAACTAGGTGGAGCAAATTCAGTCTTGTATAACATAACTGGATTACCTGCAACATCTCATGTTCTGTGCTGGGACATGGCTGATAAAGCAGACAAACTAGAGAATTGTAACTATTATGTTTAGCATTTTTTACCAACTAATACTTAATCTGTTTGTAGCCCATGGCAAAAGTAATAACATCAGCTCAACAGAAAGCAGGAAGAACCATCACTGCTCGAATCACGGGCCGAGCTGATATGGGACAAAAAGCCAGAATCTGTGGTAGTTTAGCAGTGATGGGAGTTGCTCCACCCATTAGTTCAGTCATTGTTGAAAAACATCATCCAGTCACTCAGGTAAGTCCAAATTATGCTTGTAACAGTATTCTTATTACACCACCAGTAGTTTAATAAAAATTACCACTGTCAAGCTTAGCCTTGAGTTCTGTTTAAAATAACAAACAGTACTGTCTTTGGACTGTGTAGAAGGCACTGGTGAGGAGAGGAAGTAAATATTGCCACTTTAATCTGCTTGGTTTCTGTAGTAATTATTTCACAGAAAAAGTAGTCTTGGCTGTTTCTTTCTTGGCCAACTCTTCCATGAATCTTCCTCTTCATAGAAGTGGTCAGTTGGTATGGCAAGGTTTGGTGTCATCACCATGCAACTACAGTTTAATGACAAGCTTCATGGTGTACATCATGGAGAGTGACTGAACCAGAGGTGGTAGAGACATAGATTAGACTGATAGGCTGAGCGTAGCAAATTATTAGGGAAAAAAGTAAAACCCTTGTCCAGATGCAATCAAATATGTCAAGCCTGCTGCTTGTTGTATTTTGAGTCTTACCCCCTTCCACGCCCCATTTATTCCTGAAGAAAACACTGAAATAAGTGCATTAATAGGGTATGAAATCAACACACAAAGTACTGTAAATGGTGGCCTAAATGGCCTAGGCATTTGCTACACTCTTAGACCAATCTGAGAAAAAAGTGGTTTTGACGGGAAGTATATGAAACACTTGAAGATTTTATATATATATATACTTTTTTTTTTAACCTGTAAAGTAGGATCTGAGTTTCCTCTGTGCTGTCTAAAAGTCCACTTTTTTTCTTCAGCTATACTGCCAGAAGAAGCAGAGCTGCATCAGGTCCCTTTATTTGAGCATCTCCAGATGCTGGAGACTGGTAACTGTCCATGTGAGGGATGTTCTGTTTTCACTCAGTGCAGTGAATCAGAGCCCTGTGGCAGGCTGCACATAGCTTTCAGGAATCTGAGCTTTAAGTAGAAATTAATACTTAAATTGAATGTTAAATTGGCGTGAGACTTCTTTCATTAAGAACAATTTCTAGATTCAAATTCTGTGACTAGTGTGACAAGTAAAGTACCTGAACCACTGTACCAAAAACTGACTTCCAAAAATGTAATACATGAGACAGTCCCCGAGATACATTCTATGTACTCACTGCAAATAAATACCTAAGTGGAAATCAATCAGATCAAGGTATTTATCTTTTATTGATCTGACAGGGGAAAGAG